CCTGTGCCGAGACGCAGGGAATCCACGGGAAGGGACCAGGGAGGCGAGTGCACGAGGGAGGGCAACCGATTGGCAACACCAATGGCGTCGTGAGGAAACACAAGGGAAATCCAGACGGGAACGCTTGTCCACCTCGAGGAGTCTCAGGATGACCACAAGGAAACCTAACAGAGGAGTGATCAAAAAACGAGTTCAATCGTAGGAGGCTTTCACTAAGGAAACGTTTACCAGTTGAGGCAAACACTCAGGCACTGGAGTGTCAGCTAGTCGCTCCTTATGAAGCACCTCTGCAGCTCTCGGAAATTAGACACAGGTGTGTCTACAGGTTGGCCACCACACTTCTCCAGGGGCTCCGCCCAGTGGTGACATCTGGTGGCTGTGAGGGGAAGTAGCAGCTTCCCAGAAAACCCAGGACAGAACAGAAGAGGAAAAAAAAAACAAAACAGAAAAAAACCCAACCTAACAGAAATGAGACTTCAACGTTTTCCGTCATCTGACAAGCAGCAGGTCTACTCCACTTTATTCACCAAAACGTTTTGATTCACCAAAACCTGATCTGTAATCTGGAACATTCAGCTCCAGTTAGCCGCCTTATCTCACTGCGCGAGAGGAAACTGCGTCATGCGTCACGGGCAAAAGGTCAAAGGTAACAGGGTGACCGGAAGGCTTATTGTGTTGTACAAAAAAATAAATTAAAAATAAATAATAATAATAATAATAATAATAATAATAATAATAATAATAATTTTAGTACATGTTATCTGTCAGAAGATGACTTAGGAAATAATAATACCAACAAAAAAATAAAAAAATGACCAAAAGGGAACTTGGGGGCAAGGGGCAAAAGGGGCAAAAGGGGCAGGTGCTCATCCCCCCACCCCCACCCGCACGTGCCTGGAAATGGACAAAACTTTCACCAGCTAAAGAGCCAAAAACTGTTAAATGTTTTCTAAGAAAGGGAAGGCTTTTTAATGCGACACTGCAGTTTGTCCAGTTCAGTGTGACGTTTTCAAAGTGAATTTTCATCTCTGCTGCTGCGTTTGTCTCCTCACTGTGTAACAGAAACAGGAGTGATCTCTGTGCAGTCGGTTCTGTACGGACGGGAAGACAGAGAGACCTGCAGTGAGTTCAGACCCGACAACCAGCTCACCAACACCAAATGCTCCCAGAAGGGCTCCCTGGACACGCTGAAGGCCAGGTACCAGACCCAGTGTTCCCAGTTAATGCCATTTAAAGTTCCAACAGCTGCAAACTATGTGGCTTTTAACCAAGACAAACTGTGTTGTCTCATCCAAAGGCAGTGCTGTGTTTTTTAAAATATTGATGTAAGTTCATGCAAATCTGGCTCCATTTGGCTAGCAGTAAAAAATGAGCACATTTTGATTAAAGCAGTTTTGTCCAAACCTTTGAACTCCTGATGTGATTCTGAACCTCCTGTTAACGATGCTACACGTCTGACCCTTCACACATCTGACTTTGATGGATACATTTGTAAAGAGTTTCCCTAAAAAAAAAAAAAATAAATTACAATCAACCTAAAATTAAAATTGTTACATACAACATAGTATGTTTAATAAGCATTTTTTAATTTTACTTTTGATTCAAAAGAAATGGGGACCACACATCTTACTCTCAGATTTCAGGCCTGAAATAATTAATTCATAATAATTACAATTACTATTCTTTTCTAAATTTGGAAAGACCTTCAAACGCAGAGAAACTGTCTCTTAATTTAAAGTAGCATTTAGAGCTTTATAGTGGAACATTTAAAAGACGTGTTTGTAGTTCGGTTGTTCGCTGCTGCCCAGCCGTCTCCTGTTCCCTCATTACTCCTTTATTTAACCCCTCCTGTGCCACCTGCTCCCTGCCGGGTCCGAGTCGTGTGCCAGTTGTCGTACGTTGTCCCGTCTGCCCTGCCTTTGTCGTGTGTTTGTTTCCAGTTGCTACCAGCGTCTGAGCTCCTTGTTTTGTTGCTCACCTGTTCTGCCTGGACTCCTGTTCTCTTTGTGATCTTCATTAAAACCAACATTTCTGCCCTGCCACCCGGTCCTATCATGTCCATCCTCATCTACAAACAACCACATTTCATGACAGAAATATTGATAACACTGCTGCTTTTTCTTGGCCGACTGGAGCTTTGCTTTTTAAATATGTAATGTTTATGCTGTGTTTATTGTGTCTTCTTCCCCTTCTCTTCCTCATGAGGCCCGGCCTCTAACTAGGGCAGAAACTGCCTAAATAAAGGTTCAAATAGCCAGAGCAATTAAGCATGCAGCAGCAGTTTTATGAAACACCCAGACTGATGTGACTGTAACAAACCCACAGAGAAACTTCTTTTTTTTAGATGTGATGGGAAGAAAGTGTGTGAAGTAAACGCCGGCGTGTTTCGTACTTCTGATCCTTGTTTCGGCATCTATAAATACGTGGACACCACATATTCCTGTTTCCCTGCAGGTTTGTATGTTTTATTGCAGAGATCTTATAAAAGCTGGACAGAATGTGAATTATTAGTGTGATTTCTGTTTCTCCAACAGTCCGAACCGTGGCCTGTGAACAGTCGCTGTTAAACCTTCAGTGTGGTCTGGTCACAGATTCCTTGTTTCTCTCAATTTTGTTCAATTTTCTGCATTCACTGACTGACTGACCTCATGTTTCTTCCTTCCAGATGAGGGGCAGGTCATATCTGTGATTGGGGCGTTTTACGGCCGCTCTGACCCGACCACCTGCTCTTTCCAGCGTCCTCCCGCTCAGGTCCAAAAGACCGACTGCTTGAGGCCCTCAGGCGAAGTCGCTGCCAGGTACTGATCGTCTGTCTGCTCTCAGCTTCGACCCGATGCCTTCCAGCTTTCTGCAGCTAACTGCTGTTGCATTAATGTGGATCCACAGCTGCAATGGAAAAACCAGCTGCTCTGTCAAAGCAAGCAACTCTGTGTTTGGAGACCCTTGTGTTGGAACGTACAAGTACCTGGAGGTGGCCCACACCTGTGAGAGTGAGTGGGACAAAACCGCAGGCTTTTATTGTGACAGAGACGAGGACATTGCATTGTCCTTTAGCTGCTCATCAAAAGCTGTTTGTCACAACATAAAACAACCAAATTTATTTACTTGAATTACTTTAAAAACACTTTTCTATACCATCATATCTGCATCTCATAGTAAAAGTTAAAGGCCATGGATGTGTTTTTTCTATAGTCTCAGTCTGTCTCAGTTGTTATGTTTTCTACCAATAAAGTTTTTCATTCAGTGTGTTTTTCTAACACTAGCATCTCAGACCTTCTTTCTTTTTGTTCTTTTGCAGATCCTGTGATTAAACCAGGTGCCTAAAATCAAGATAACACATCAGAGATCCCTAAGCTTCTTACATTTAATCAAAAATGAATTGCATATATAGTTCAAGAGCTTCTGTCTGGCAGCATGTTGTTCATCTCATCACCCAGTTCAGTCTGAGCTGCACCGCTGATTTAAGATCGTTCCTTTGATTTGATTCTTTAACTGCATAAATAAACCTACTCCAGCATCTTGCTCAGTCTCTTGTAGTTTTATTAAAATACCACAGAGTTTAATCAAGCAATCAGAAAACAATGTTGCCTCTGACTTTTTTTAAAAAGAGAAAATAGTTTACTACTTGTGCTACAATAAAAAATATTTTTGTGGTTTAAAAAAATCACCAGCAGCAGGAACTGTGAAGTCAGACTGCATAAATGATAAGGCTGATGAAAAAATAACTGCTGCTTTTACATAGAAAGGGAAACATTTGAATATAATATAATATAATGATTGAAAAAAATACTAAAACATAATATATAAATTCTATTTATATACATTCAGTCAAATCCCTAAACCATGATATTTTATTGGTTATTATATGGTTTTTAAATCTTTCATATGAGTACATTGGTTTTATATATAAAAACTATATTGCACAGAGAGCAGAGGATCGCTGAAGCAACCAGGCTTCCAGAAGCTCAGCAGAGCCAGATGCTGCTCTGCTGCATCGATGGAGCAGTGCTGCAGCAGCAGTGCATCAGTGCATCCATATTTCTGCTACAAAATATGGATTTTTGTAGCAGAAATATGTTGTGCTGCATGCACAACATATTTCTGCTACAAAAATCCATATTTAATTGGGCTTAGTTAAAACAAAATAAAGCTGAGTAGATAAATTCTCAGCAGTAGGCCATAATAATCAAAATTATGACACATTAATAGAAGATGCTTGATGTCGATCTATGCTTGTAATGAATCAGTCAGGAATATATGAGGCACATTATACAGAAGTTAAGTTTTCAGTCTGTCCTGTTTGGCTCATCTAACAGGACAGATGTTGCACCTTTCCAGTCTAGACTGCAGGGAACACTCATCATGAGGGCTGATCTTCCCTCCATGCAGGAGATGTACAGGTTAAAGGTCAGGGAAAGTGCAGCTAGCATTTCTGCAGACCCCACACATCCTGAACACAAGCGAATGAATAGTCAGAGAGCCCAGGTCGACACCATACATATTTGCACTAATGCAACCTTATCTTTTTAATATGCAAAAGCACTCTAAATACACTTATTTATAAAAACATACAATTTACCATTTATGTATTTAAATGTTAAATGTTTGTGAAATTCTTAGTTTTGTTTTTTAATCATCTTGGTGAAATAACATGAACATATTCAGTTCAGTTTATTTCAATAGCGATACATATATTTAAAACTATCCAGTTTTTTATCCAGTATTTTTGTTGTTGTTAACGGAAAGTTGTTTAATAAAGCTTTCAAACAAAAAACTGTCACGTGATAGGAGCTCTGTTGCATTCAATGTCTCGGGAAATATGCGCTTCCAAAACAAATCATGCATTTGTTAAATTATTCCGAATAGTAAAAAGTCCGACTATGAAGCATTTGAAGCAAATTACTTTAGATTTATTTATTATTTCAAACATATCTTTTGGTTTTCCCGTCGATAAATGTTCTTTTCTTAGCTTTTAGCTCGGCTGACTCTGTTTTTTACCACAGTTCATGAAAGCAGCATGACACAACAGCAAAGATGGCGTGCTGCAGAAGCTGTTTTTGTTGCCAGTGTTGCTGCAGGGAGGGAGAGACGCGGACGCCGGAGGAGCTGGTGAGGACAGCGGGGGTACAGGCGGTGAAGGCGGGGTTCGGTGGGGCATTCCCGGGTTCTGGTTCGGTTCTCCTCAGTTCCTCCAGGAATCTCTGCTCCACCCTGCTGCTGCTGCATCTCCTGCCAGCCTCAAGTGTTCAGCTTCTCCCTAGAGAGAATCTGTTTTTCTTCCCGTTTATTGGTTTAATTTCAGCTTATTTCTGTTTATCAGTAACTCCTGTTCACAGCTATAAACTCATTTAAATATTTTTGTGCATCTGTCCTGATCGTCCACCCGAAGTTATCACCACAGTAGCAGACAGACGGCAGATTGCAGTCCTGCTGTTGGAATTTCATCTTGTTTCATTACTGATTCAATCTGCTTGTGCATAATCTTTTTTTTTTTAATATTCTTTCATATATTCTCAGACAATTCTTGGGGAACTCCGAGATGAGGAAGATGAGATTCTGCCCAGGAAAGACTACGAGGTGAGAAACGGTTTAAAGCGGTTCTGATCAGCAGTTCTGCAGAAGCTTTTCTTTGGTATTTTGTTGCTTTGAGTCTAAATCGCTTTGACCCTGAGGGACCCAGTTCTATGGCCGTCTTGTACATCATCAGCATTTTCTCCTGATTACCTTCTGTAAGTGGTTTCGTCGTCCATTGGTGGTGTTAGCGGATGTGGCTTGTGCGTCAGATTTACAGGTGTACCAGAAACGCATACCGGAACCTTTGTATGTCTTTAAAAAAAATGCAGTTAATTGTGTTAAAATCTAATTAATTATTCAAGTTTAACCCATTAAAGTCCTGGCCCTAATTTTGATCCCTGTCAGCTGATGTGGGCGTGACAACCAGGACCTTCCTCTGTCCACCATGGGGGATTTTATACATGAACTATTGATCAGAACCGCTTTAAAAAGGATAAGCATGTTGGTTCCACTGGAAGGAAAGTATGCCCAGAACCACTGGGTTGGTCTTTATCACAGAGTTTTATGAAGTTATTACCAGATGAATTGGTGAATATTTGTCTCTGTTTGGCCTTGTTAGAGTCTGGATTATGACCGCTGCATCAACGAGCCGTATGTGGAGGTTCTGGAGGGCCTGGACAACAAGGTGAGGAAATGTATTAAACTTTAGTGTCATTTCAGAAAAAAAACATAAATATAAAAACATTTGGGGAAAAAATCTCTGAAAATGGTTGATGTGAAAAGTCTGAATGCATCTTTAATTTTCCCTCAGAAAGCCAGAAAGTACGAGGCGGTGCGGTGGGTGATGGTGTTCGTGATCGGGGTCACGGTCGGACTGGTTGGGCTGTTTGTGGACTTCTTTGTTCATCTCTTCACTAAAATCAAGTTCTCCGTGGTCGCTGACTGTATCCTTTAGCGTTTCGACACACAGGAAGCTCCATCATGTAAAACAGGAAGTGCTCCTTAACCGAAGACTTCCAGCTATAGAGAAATGCACAGACAGAGGCTGTCTGTCTTTGTCTCTGCTGGAGCTGCTCACCTTCAACATGGTGTTCGTCTTCATCGCCAGCCTGCTCGTCCTCATCGAGGTTTGTTTTCCACAGTAACCGCATGTTGGTGGGAGCGTCCAGCAGCAAAGGCGGTGACCATCACTGCTTCCCCTGACCTGCTGGGATGTGTTTCCAGTTGAAGTGTGTGTGGTAGCAGACCAATCCGCTAACCTTCACCTCGTAAACGTGTTGCTATCGCTGCGTCTCGTCCTCCAGCCGGTGGCTGCAGGATCCGGTATCCCAGAGATCAAAAGTTACCTGAATGGAGTGAAGATCCCAGGAATCGTGCGACTTCGAACGTTTCTCTGCAAAGCTGCTGGAGTTCTGTTCAGCGTGGCTGGAGGTAGGGCTGCAGCTAATGATTGTTAGGAATCGATTGTTCTGACGATTAACCAAAGAAAAGTGACTCATTCTGCAGGTTTCTCAACACTGAAGCCTTTTCTTATGCAATATTAGACATTTATACAAAAATTCAGATAAGCAAATTTGATTCCTTTTTTAAATAATAAAATAAAGATTCATTTGCCTAAAATGCAGGTTTTCTTTATCGCTGGATGAAGCTAAGAAAAGCCTCATAATGTCAGCTTGTGAAAGCTGACATTATGAGGCTGAACATCGATGCAGTGTAGAGATGATCTAGTCAGTTAGTTTTCCATTTTCTCATCGTTCACTGGATAACAGTGGGGCCTTAACAGGAAATGTATTTTCACAGAATTTGACCCATTTGAATCTGTATCTGGAGCAGAACATAATTACTGACAAAGAAAGTTTATTTTTTAATGCAAAATGTTTATATTTTTCTAGTTTTTGCTTAATTATTGCTCTGATTGTGTTCTTTCAGAAAATGACCAGAATGAATTGATTCACTAAATTATTTGATTATTTCAACATGTTCATCAAAATTAACTGTTTCATGAAGCAAATGGAGACTTTTGGATTGACTTTATCCTTTTATAGCTCAGTTTCTTTTCTCATGTGTTGGTTTTGGGTCGATGTGACATTATTATGGGTTGATCAGATGATCTGCTGGAAGGAGACGTTCACCAGGCATGGAGGCAAACAGACATGATGACTCAGATCAGCTGTTTGTCCCCTCAGGTCTGTTTGTGGGAAAGGAAGGTCCAATGATCCACAGTGGAGCCATAGTGGGAGCTGGGCTTCCTCAGGTGCGGCGCCGCCACACGGATCCGCTGATGATCCTCTAAACCGGTTTACCATGAGAGGATGGTTAACCTCAGGGTGTTACTGCATGCTCTCTGACTGCTCCCACACACACACACACACACACACACACACACACACACGTTGGGTTAACCTGTTTGACTGCTGATCGATGAGTGACCTGTCCAGGGTGAAACACGTCTAATTTCTGCGTTTTCCCTCCATCAGTTTCAGAGCATCACCTTCAAGAGGGTCAAATTTGATTTTCCGTATTTCCGCAGCGACAGGTACGACCTGCTGCCGATTGTTATTCAGCTAATCTCACTTATCTAACATTGGGAAATGTGGCTTATTTTCTTATCAATCTGCTCCCCAGAGACAAGCGGGACTTTGTGTCGGCTGGTGCCGCCGCTGGAGTTGCTGCTGCCTTTGGTGCGCCAATAGGGGGCACTCTCTTCAGTCTGGAGGAGGGCTCCTCCTTCTGGAACCAGGCCCTCACCTGGAAAGTGGTGCGTTGTCTTTTCCTAAAGCAGCGCTGATCCGTCCTTCACCACAACATTAACTTTAGCTAAAAACGCTAAAGAGCCAGCAGTTTTTTTAATAACTGTGTAATAAATGCAGGTTTTAGAAGTTTTTTATTTTGTGGGGGAATGATTGATTTACACTTTCACAACAAAATGACATTAAAAGTACAGGTAATAATTTTTCTTCCATGATATTCCCTAAATATAAAAAAATAAATTTTCTGGAGTAGATATTTATTAAAACTTAAAAGTTGTTCTTTTTTTTGTAACATTTTCGGCTCTAAATCGTATTTAAATGGACTGAGAGCAAAAATGGATCCGGATTGTAAAGTTGCACCATTTGTGGATGGTGATGCTGCAGGCAAGAAGGATCTGCAGCAGCAGTCAGTCTTACAGCTACTCTGAAGAAGCTTCTGACTGAAGAATGTTGCTGTATGACATGGCAGCTTAAAGTCCAGAGCAGAGAAACGCTGAGTTGAGGATTTGATCCTACAGCCATGTTGCTTTGAATGCAATGGATGGAAGAGATGTTTAAACTTTCTCTTTCTCCTTGTAAGATTTTTATTCTGACATGTAGCTCATAGCAGGATTTACAGAAACTAAGTGAGATGAACTGAAGAGCGTTGGCCTTCTCTGATCTGATCTGATCTTTGTTTTCAGCTCTTCTGCTCGATGTCGGCCACTTTCACGTTGAACTTCTTCCGCTCTGGGATCAACTTTAACAAATGGGGCTCCTTCCAGCTGCCTGGACTCCTCAACTTTGGAGAATTCAAGGTGAGGATCCATCATCAGTTGGTTTTGTCTGCAGAGATCCTGACATTAAAGGAGCGCTGACTGATTTTCAGTCAGATCAATTATATCATTCTGTCTGTAGACATTAATCTCCATGTCTGTGTCTTCTCTGATTCCACCTTTTCTTTAATAAACATGTAAAAGCTGCAGGTTTTTCAGCTAAAACAGTAAAACACGTTAAAACGTGGAAATCTGCATCTAGTTATTCCTTTAAGTTTAAATTAAAATGGTTCATCCAGTTTGGACCTGAAAGTTAAGTTTAATTGCAACAATATGATTGATTCCAGCTTTCCTGTTGTAAACTTACACAAATAGAAATGATGATCTTAATTTATATCAATCATTGATGTAAATTAGTTTTATAGCACTTTGCAGCAGCACAGAGTGCAAAGGTCATAAAAACATGATAAACACGTCAGGCAGTGAAAAGCAGTAACAGACATCGTCTTTGTTGAAATCATCATAACACATCGATTCCAACCAGCTGGGTTTTAGCCCAGATTAAACGCGACTTTATTGATATAAAATCTTTTTCTGAATAAATCAAATTATCTCCAGTTTTCTGAACAAACTGGGTGTTTTAATAAGTGAATCTTTGTCCTTCAGTGTTCAGACGGGGAGAAGAAATGTCACCTGTGGACAGCAGTGGACCTGGGCTTCTTCGTCCTGATGGGCGTGGTGGGCGGCCTGCTGGGGGCGCTCTTCAACTGCATGAACAAGTGCCTGGCCAAGTACCGAATGAGGCACATTCACCCCAAAGCCAGGTTCATCAGGTCCGCCTCGCCGGCAGCTGGACGGCCGCGTCGGTCCGCGTAACGAACAGGCTGACGCCGTTTTGTTCCCAGGGTCCTGGAGAGTCTGCTGGTTGCCATGGTGACCACGGTGGTGATATTTCTGGCCTCGGTTCTGTTGGGTGAATGCCGGGACCTGTCCTCCCCGACGACCCACAACTCCACAGTGAGCAGATACTTTTAAATGTTTTCACCGATTTTCTGTGAGACGAAGAGAAAATAAAAAGTAATTCTTCACCTTCAGCCTCTTGTCCTCACAGACGGCTTTGTGTTGGCAGGTTTCTGGCAGTGAAGACATCAACTCAACCATCCGGCAGTTTTTCTGCTCCAATAAATCCTACAACGACATGGCGACGTTGCTCTTCAACCCTCAGGAGGCGGCCATCCACCAGCTCTTCCACCAGGACGGTGAGGCTGCAGAAGGAACAAATCAGATGATGCTTCGCTAATATCTAACTGGTTTCTGCATAGAACTGGTATTCTACGCAAATATTCTGCATTTTGATTTAGTTCTTGAGGCCTTTTTGAGTTTATCTCATGTGAGAGATAAACTCATGCAATGCATATTTTCAATGCACATTAAAAGGCTGAAAATATAATTATTGCAGGAGTAATTAATAGTCTCTCTGTGGAGTTAAACATGTAAAGATGCTTCTTTGATCATCACTAAACAGGCTGTAAGATGATGACTACCTAAAAGTTTCTTACATTCAGTGATTTATGTTTCTATTTCAACACAGTCATAAACAGTTGAGTTGATCTTCCATCAGTAAATAGATCCTCTTCTGACAGGCACCTTCAGCCCGGCGACTCTGTCCATCTTCTTCCTGTTGTACTTCCTGTTGGCGTGTTGGACGTACGGCGTCTCGGTCCCCAGCGGTCTCTTCGTCCCGTCTCTCCTGTGTGGCGCTGCGTTCGGACGTCTGGTCGCAAACATCCTCAAAGTGTAAAAAATAAAAGTTCTCGTTTCCTCTGAAATGTTCTACAGAAGATTAAAACCACAAAACCAACATTAAATATTATACAACGACACATTTATTTAAAGGTATTTAACTGATAAATTGTCTAAATACCAAAGTGATGATTTACCTGATGGAAAATGGCTCCCAGCAGAGCAGGAGTCTGAGGTGGAAACAGGAAGTGAAATGAAAAGCCTGTTTACTTTTGGCTAACATGGAATATGTCAACTTGCTCTTTTCATGGTGATGAATTATTGAGCCAGGTGGAAAAACAGGAGAGGAGAAAATATGCAGATTTTACAACCAAAATCATTTTTGCAGTGTTTACCAATATTATCACCATCACTAGATTTTCAGCTCTAGAAAATGTCAAACACCCAGTAGGTTTTTTTCAGACCGCCCCCTGCTGGCCATCAGAGAGCCGATTAAAAACGATTTACCTGTTTGGACCTGGATCTAGTCTGTCTGCTTCTCAACGGCGCCACAGTCTGGCTGCAGCTTAGAGGAGCAGATCCGGCCTCAGCGTCTGGTTTTAAAAACATTTGTCTGGTGTTTAGCATGTTGAGGTTCAGAGCTGCGTCTGTTACTGGTTCTAACTGGGATCTGTTCTCTCAGGAAACTGGGACTCCACATCTACTCGGGGACCTTTGCCCTCATCGGAGCGGCGGCCTTCCTCGGGGGCGTGGTCAGGATGACCATCAGCCTCACCGTCATCCTCATCGAGTCCACCAATGAGATCACATACGGGCTGCCCATCATGATCACGCTAATGGTGCCAACGCTGCTTCCTCTCTGTCACATGTCAAGGTTTCAGTCTGGAGTTTGCAGTTAGGAGTTCATGTTTCTGATGTTTGTGTGTTTTGGTCATTTTGCTTAAATGACAGAAACACCTGATCTCAGCCTCGTTTAGCATGTTACATGTTCATGGCTAGAAAACACAAAGCAAGTTTGTCTAGAAGGAATAAAGAGCCTCTGAAAACATCAAGACTTCACAACTTCAGTTTGCAAAGCTGCATCGGGGTTAAACGCAGACTTCTGGACAAACTGGAGCTGTTTGGTCAGAGAGACCCGACCAGAAAGTATCCTGGAGACGGATGAGGCCTGGCAGCTGAAGCCGGGCCCAAACTGGGCCCAAACTGGGCCCAAGCTGGGCCCAAGCTGGGCTCAAGCTGGGCCCAAGCTGGGCTCAAGCTTCAAGCTGGGCCTTCAGCAGCAAATCTACAGTCAAATGGGTCAAAAGGAAAAGAGTCAAGCTGTTGCTAAAATAATGCGTGAGATTTAAAAAAAAGACTTCATTTGGATGATTGTTGGTAAAGATTAAGTGAAATCTGTGTCTGAACTTTAGGTTGCTAAATGGACTGGAGATTTCTTCAACAAGGGCATCTATGACATCCACATCCAGCTGAAGGGCGTCCCTCTGCTGGAGTGGGAGACGGAGGTGGAGATGGACAAGTAAGATGAGACCGGAAGATGTTCGGTGGCCTTTCCATGTGTAGTTTGTGGCAGATAAGTTGGCTCCTTAAAGTAAAGTTTACTCATAAAATGACCAGCTCAGCCATGTTTCTGTTCGCTCAGCTGGCGTTCGGTTGTCATCTCCTCCCTTCGTCCCTCCAGGCTGACAGCCAGCGACATCATGGAGCCCAACCTGACCTACGTTTATCCCCACACTCGGGTCCAGTCTCTGGTCAGCATCCTCCGGACCACCGTCTACCACGCCTTTCCCGTGGTCACGGAAAACCGGCAGAACGAGCGGGACTTCATGAAGGGCAACATCCTGATCAGCAACAACATTCGATTCAAGGTACGGAGTGCTGACCCTGTCGAACGTTCACCAGTGAGACCCGCCTCCTCGCCTGATTGGTTGCTTTTGGTCGGGAGCGTTGCTTCACGCAGCAGCACAGGAAGGGGGAGCAGCTCCATCCTCACAGATTCTCAGTGACATTTTTAGAACATATGGAAAAAACATTTTTGTAAAAGTTTCAAACTGCAGCTTTAAGCACCAAAGTTACATTTCAATGTTTCACCAGCTGTGATTAATTTGTAATGTCTGTTTTTTTTATTTACCTGAGTAAATACAAAAAAAAAAACAGTTTTTAATAATGATTTAAGTCATTAAAGGAAAAACCTGAGTGACAAAGTAATCATAGAAACTATAATATCTGGTTTCTCACATCGTTTTATATCTAAGAGTTTGTTAAAGGTTTTATGGTGATGTGCTGTTTAAGCATAGAGGAATTTACTACTACGGAATAGAAACGTTTTAAGAATTTCTCACATATTTTGACTTTTAATTCCAGGATTTGCTGATTGAAGATATTTTTCTGTCTGCATGTCCGACTCTTTCTTTTCCCTGGCAGAAATCCAACATTGTGTCTCGTGCGGCGGAGCAGCGGCGGCGCTGCCAGTCGATGAAGTCGTACCCGTCCAGCGAGCTGAGGAACGTTTGTGACGATCAGAACGCGGCAGCGGAGCCGGCAGAGGAGGGAGAGGACCTGCTGCAGCAGATGCTGGAGAGACGGTAGCAGGAAGTCAACCTACACAGGACTTCACTCTGTCCTTTGGCTCTTTGAACTCAGGAATCACACAAAACTCAAAACAAGAACTAATAGCTTTTATTTAAAACATAAAATTACATTTAGGTCCTGTTTACACAGCAGCATTTCTAAAAATGTTTTCTGATGTGTATCTGAAAAAAACAATACAGCATTTTCACAACAATGAAATAAAAACTTTCTGCATGGAGACGAAATCACAGCTGCTCTGTCAGAACCACGAATAACAAAATGTATTTAATCTCAGTAAAGTCGTCTGAAATCAGAAAGACGAAGGGAAAACATTTTCTCTTATTTTCAGCCGTTTGCATCTGATTGTCATACAAACTTTATAAATAAGAAAAAGTTAATTAGTTTTTCCATCCGCTGAAGGAACCAATCAGCCAAAGCATCGCAGAGAAATGGAGAGAGGTTTTCAGGATGTGTTGCTGTTGGGAAATTGTAATTATTTGTCAAGTTGACTAAAATCAATGATGTTTCAAGCTGTCTGCTTTTTTATTTTGATTAATCGGGAGATTTTTGTTGGACAAACTGGAGTTGGACATTTGGCCAAACCTTACGCCGTAAAAACGATGTTTCTGATTCTGCATCAGTCAGACGAGGTTATGGGACAGTAACAACGAACCAGCTGACAAAATGCTTTTATTCTCACGCCGTTCCAGCAGGATAACGGTGGTTCTGATTCTGTCTTCAGCCACGCTCCCTACCCCAACCTGTACCCAGACCAGTCCCCCAGTGAAGAGTGGACCATGGAGGAGCGGTTCCGACCGCTCACCTTCCACGGCCTCATCCTGCGCTCCCAGCTGGTCAACCTGCTCATCCGAGGCGTCTGCTACTCCGAGAACCAGTCGGTCAGTCAGACGTCCAGCTGCTTTCGTTTCCCGCTTCTTTCCCCGTTAGTGACAGAAGTCTCCGTCTGTGCAGAGCGCCACTCAGCCCAGGCTGTCGTTCACAGAAATGACTGAAGATTACCCGCGGTACCCGGACATCCACGAAGTGGACCTGGCCCTGCTCAATCCCCGGATGATAGTGGTACGACCCGATCCGCTGCTGAATACGTTTGAATTCAGTTTGATTTAAAACTTAAAACTACGATCCCTGCGTTGCCAGGATGTGACGCCCTACATGAACTCGTGCCCCTACACGGTTTCACCAAACACCCGGATCTCCCAGGTGTTCAACCTGTTCAGAACCATGGGCCTTCGACACCTTCCAGTGGTCAACGCTGTGGGAGAAGTAAGTTCTCCTCAAACATTGGTGCCTTCTGAACCTACAGCTGCAGAGACTTTTTAGTTGTCTGAGCAAAATCTCTCTTTCAGATCGTTGGAATAATCACAAGACATAATTTAACCCACGAGTTCCTGGTGGCCAAACTGCGACAGCACTACATCACCATCTGAGCCGCCGCCGTGGCGCCGCCCCGCTCTGCCTGGCCTCGAAGCCTTGGCTTTGGTTCGTCTCTAACTTTATTAAAGCATTCCCAAAACCAACAAGCTGCATCTGAGAGCCGCAGAGGAGAAGCTGTCAGACTGCAGGAGGGAGATCTTCTTCTTCTCCTTCTTCAGGTCCAGCAGGAGCCTTCAGACTCCAGTTTAGAGATTTTCTGTTAAGTTTCTTTATTTTTGCATCGAGCTCAGAAAGCAGATTTTATTTTCTTGACAGAGACCATCTGAGACAGCTGTGAACTGTCGGTATAAGAACATGGTGAACTTGTGTGTGGGTATGGAGGAGTTTTTAGAAAAACATAAAATAATTTGTCAAAACATCCACAACATTCCTTAAAGTGGATCCACGACTAGTTGAACATGTTGGCCTAAATATGTTTTAATTTTCCCAACAACCTAAAAGTTGTTGCTTTTGATGTAAAACTCAAAGTTGTTTACATTTTTTAATATTTTTATGACATTTTTCACCTATGGAAGTCGCCAATTTTTAAAAATATTCATTTTTAAAAATATTATTTGTTTTTAAATGCACAATGCATCCTGGGCCGATAAGATAAAGTGGACTGGAGTCTAAAACCAATGATGGAGGATGATGATGATGATGGCAGCCCACCAGGGTTTCATGTGAAATTAAACAGAGATTTGTTGGATCAAGCTAACATGATCGGCTTCTGATCTACTCTTTACACCGTTAGCAGGAGCTAAAGCAAAGACAAACCCACTGAACAAGGTGAATGGTGGTTTAAAATCTTTAAGTCGTAACGCCGTTCAGACGTATTCGAGGAGAGCTTTTGACCCCACTGCTCGTTGTAAACAGCTTGAATTAGGACGTCTCTGCAGTTTTCACTCCAGTTGGTGTTTCCAAGCTGCAGGTTTTTCAGCCGACTTTCCTCTTCATTTTCATTTCCTGTCATCATTTCTGTCTTAGCTTCCATTTCATTGAGTTCAAGTTAAAAAGGCTGAACACAAAAATGTTCTGACTGGAAGGAGCTAATGCTACATCACATAGCATTCTTCATTTACCCAGGATGCATTGCAGCACAAACAACATGACAAGTCTTTCATTTAAATTTAAAAGAACTGAACCTTCCGTAGTTTTACCGAGTTGTTTTTACTTCTAAAATAAATGTCAACTAATCGTGGATCCCTCTAAAACCCTGAAGACAACCAATCAGAAAGGAGGCTGAAGTTAATTTTACTCATCATGATGTTCCTCTGTGTCTGTGAGATGTTTTTGGACCGTTTGTCCAAAAGCAGAAATGCATTCTCTGCTTTACGGTAGGTAGCAGCCGTGTAGAACCGCCCAGTTCCCTCCTGCACCAGCTGATGGCGCTGGAGCTCCAGCAGAACCAGGAGGAATGACCAAAGAATAAACGCGTAGAAATGCTCCGGTTTGGATGCAGATGGGCAACATGCAGACTTTTTTCATGGATATATACCACAGTTCCCGCACTATAAGTCACACTAGTTTTCATAAAGCTTGGCTGGTCCAGTATTTTATTGTCAGGATTAACTAACAGATGTTATATTTTTTGACTGATTCATTAATTATGAGTTCATACTGATGGATACAAACCAAGGATCAAACATTACCGTTTGCAGCCGTGAGGAGAGGAGATATTTTGCTGAAAGGAAGGTGGCCAGAGCTGGAGGAGCAGTTTGAACATAAAGAATGAGCTGCTGATGTTCTGAGGATCTCTGCTTCCAACCGCAGTGCGTCTAGACAGCCATGTCTGTCGGTCGGTGCTCCCTTTCCAAACTCCTGGAGCGGTTCAGTTACGTCTCCAAGGCCGGCCTTCTTGGTCTTACGGCTTCATACAACGCAGCCGCCTCTCTCACCCGTCTACTACGTGCGTCTCTGCTCTGCCTCGCTGCGCACTTCACTGTCGGAGCGAAGCCATTTCCGATCGTCCAGATTTAGAGCACAGACAGAAACCGTCAAACCAAAGCCGACAGTTTCTGTGAGTTTGTTAAAAAGCAGCTGAACATAACGTGTCACCAGATCTAATCACTTTTAACAATGTGACTTATACTCCAGTGTGTCTTATAATCTTAAATATATATGGTTATATACAGACAGTTCATAAATACATTTGTAAGCCTGGACTGAGTCACTCACACCTGCATCAGTTTAACAATCTGAATGCTAAACTAAACCAACAGCCTCTGACCTGAGGAGACGCTCAGATCTGCTTCTCTGCTGCTGGAGGATTTAAAATGATTCAACGGTTCAATGAAACAATATTTAAATAAGATTTATTTTGGTTCAAATAACCAGGGATTATAGAGATGTGTGTGAGTTTCCTCTGATGTTTGCTTTGACTGCTCGGTTCATCATTTTCTGGAATTCATCATGACAACAAGATCTAATTTATTTAGTTTTGAACCACAGCAACAAAGCATGGTTGGCTGTTTCCATTTCTAATTTCATCATTTAAGATTTCTGATTCATTTCATAACTGCTGAACTTTTTAAAGCAGCTGCTGTTTTCATGCATCAACAAACAAGCATTCATTTTAGAGCAGTTTTTGGGTTTGCAGAGATGCCAAAGAGACTGAATAGTTTTTTACTTTATATCATCACTTTCCTCACTTGTTGCCATAAATGAGTAATTATAGTGAAAACATCTTCGGTCCGTGTCGCCCATCCCTGCCGTTTGAACCCAATTGGACCAATTTAGATTATGATGCCACCAAATATGGATCAGTTAAAATCTTTTGTGTCCTCCTGTAATATTTTCTGTTCAGGTACACAACTGGACTGTATGTGAAATAATTAGTAATTACAGCCCAGATAAGCTGAATAGTGAAGTTTATCTGCAGGCAGGTTGATGTTGGTTTGCTGCAGTTCAAACTGTGACGTGTTTATTTGCATCAAGTCTCATCGTTCCGATGTGATCGGTCTGGTTTCCACCTGAATCGACCAGCATGTTGACGCCAGGCCTCTGATAAAAGTTAGAGGTGATGTTTTATCTGATAGATTTATTTACAAGTTCATTCAAATAACAGGAAGCCATAAAAATAATAAATAAAAGTAGGTTTTGAACAGCAGTCAGTATCTGCCATGAAAGTCTTGGTTTATCAGATCAAATTGGAAATGGATCTTTAATTTTCCTTGTACTTCCATAAGAAGTGACAGATTTTGGTTTCTATCCTGTCAGATCTGGTCCAGCAGACCGGTGAGCGCCGCTCCGACCAACAGGCTCATTCCTTTTTGATTTAATTTTATTTTGAATTATCGTCGTCACTGTTGCACTTTCTTCTGTTGTCTTTATGTTTTAATTTACTGTGACTGGAAAACATGCACTAGAAGCAGACAGGACGGGTCTGTCGGGTCCTGCAGCGTAACCGGACCTCATGAACATGGTGACTGGTTCTGTAACGTTACTAACCTTTCAGCTGCCTGTCAGTCGGTGGGCTTTGTTTTGCACTAATTTAATGTCTGATTCTCACTACGGTCAGTGTTAGAGGAGCGAAGAGAACCACGTGTTTGAGTCTCAGGAGGTGAAAACCAAGACCTGAGTCTGTTTTAGGGAAGTTTTTAAAGTTCTGGTGTTCATGTTGGATCTGCTGATCTCATTGTTTCCGAACATTTTGCTCTCATTCCAGAACAAAACAAAAAAATAAGAACAAGCTGAAACTACGTAGATTTTTTATTTTTAATCAGGTCAGTTTAGTGGATTATTTGTGATATATAGGCACATATCTGTATGAACTCAAATGTTGGTCTTTGAAGTTTTAGGTAACACTTTATTTGAAGGGGGTTGAGTAAGACTGTCATGACACTGTCATAAACATGTCATAACTCCTGTCATGAACATGAATAAGCCTTCATGAATATTTATGACTGTTGTCATAAAGCGTCATTCGGTAAATTATGACACTTTTAATACAAAGTTGACATTATTCAAAATGTCTTTGTTATGACAACTTGACATTAACCAGGAAATCATTACTGTTTAAACTTTACCTAATTTTTAAAGTGCAATCAGTAATTATTTTATAACAAATTTATATCATTAATGATTTCCTGGTTAATGTAAAGTTGTCATAACAAAGACATTTTGAATAATGTCAGCTTTGTATTAAAAGTGTCATAATTTACCGAATGACTCTTTATGACAACAGTCATAAATATTCATGAAGGCTTACTCATGTTTATGACAGGTGTTATGACATGTTTATGAAAGTGTCATGTCAGTCTTATTCACCCCCCTTCAAATAAAGTGTTACCAAGTTTTATTATAGAATATTTTATAACAAATTTATTTTGTGTTTTGTTGCCTGAGCTTGTAGAAATCCTACAGTTTGATATTATTTTGGGGCATATTTATGATCTGGGACCTGCAAAGGAAGTTATTGTACATTTTGTCAAATATTCCAACTGGTTTTCTGCATGTTTGCTTTGCAGTTTGTTTTCTGCATAACTGTCAGAAAAAATGAAGATACAAACTCGTCTCTCTGGAGGGAAAGACTGTTCTCTGCCTTCATTGCTACCGAAATAAAGTTCCTTTTGTTCACCACAGACGGTGTCAGTGTTGTTTTATATTTCCTGGCTTAAGACATGGAAGGACTACTTTGGTAGAGCAGAGAAAGTTTTTCTGCTAACAGGTTGTACAGAATATCGACGGTAAATGTGTTAGGAAGATTGAACTGTAACTCCTACAGCCTGCATGTATTGTTTTACTTACGGAGATCATCCTGTGTTCTCATTTCTACTTTAGGTTTTTTTTCTGCAGGGCTCTTTTCCTTTCGTAATGAAATTGTCAACAAATTACCATATTTTTCGGACTGTAAGCCGCTACTTTTTCCCATGGTTTGAACCCTGCGGCTTACGGTCCTGTGCGGCTTTTCTGTGGTTTTTTCTTCAACCACCAGGGGGCTCTTCAGCAGGAAGTGACTCATTAGAAGTAAAAATTGGAAATTAAAGAAGAAAGTGCTAATTTTCATTTAGAACAGGCACATGCTAGCAGCAGACTGAGAAATGTTTTCAAACTTGTATAATGCAGCTTTTAAGTTGGGGCTAAATATCTGGCAGCTCAGGAGGAAACCACGGTTCTGAAGGAAACCACGGTTCGGCTTTGGAGACGGAGAACTGCGTCTCTACTGCCCTCTTCTGGGTCCTTATGGAAAACCGGGAGCGGCGGAGATACCAGCGGCTTATAGCCCGGTGCGGCTGATATATGCACGTTTAAAGTTAGTTTTTTTATTGTAGCTGCGGCTTGGTGCCTCTATAGTCCGGAAAATACGGTACAGCAGAAACAGTAAAAGCGTAAATGGGAATTTTGCCATAAAATTCCCACAATTATAATTCAGTAACTCTCATCAAAGCTTTAGCCATATTAACAGCAGAACATGCCACCAGAGAACCCTGTTATATTCAATATTATGTTATATTGACAATATAATCCTCAGTATTTGAGTGTTACATAGTTTATTGATTAAAGTATTGTATCACACAGTTTTATTCTTTTTAATAAACTTGTACATTGGATGGATCTTGTCTGTATTTCTTCCATTTGCCGTCCAGATGACTCCAGTGCTGAATTTTATTCTGTTATTTTAAATCCTGCGTCTAATCAGGCAGGTATTTAACTGAGACGGAAATATCTGGTTATTACTTTCTTGTTGGCCAAATGCTGCCCTGACTTTGTTATTTCGATCTAAATGACTTATTTTATTAATAATTTCCCTAAGCTGGACTCCTGGCACCACAGTGCAGGGTTTTCTAATCCTTCAATGTTAAATCAGTGCTGGGCTTGTTCTTTATTTGACCTGGACGATAAATCCGTCTGGTTTGAATGCATTTGACTGGCAGGCTAAGCGGATGTCATACAGACAAATGCAAATCATTTGGTTTGCAGTAACTTTTAATGCAATAATCCACATGCTATCTCAGGTGCACATGTCTGTGGATGAGGTTTAATTTTCATTACTGAACGGTAATTTATGCTAAAAATTTGCAGTATGTTATTTTTTGTTCTATATTTTTACGTATGTAAATCTTAAACCATCTGGAAACTTGGATTTTCCCACCGACAGACAATAGAAGTTACTTCTGTTCTAAACATGTTTTCTCAAACAGGTCTGGAACCTGGAGGCTGACATTTCTCTGCATCATCATCACTTCATCAGGTAAGATTTGCCCAGTTTACTAAATATATCTTATTTATGAGGGTAAATCTGTGCAGAGCTTCTGCAGGGATCAAAGCAGATCTGGCAACTGAACCATCAACAACATGGCAGGTTGGAGAAGAATGGTCAATGGGTCAAACAATCAAGCATCTTCATTTTTCTTTTACTGGTTTGAAGGATGATGGTGAAAACTAAATCACCTATTTATGAAGCCCACCTATTATGTCTTACTGTGGATTATATGCTGTGTCACTGATGTGTTCAGGGCAGGAAGTAACTGGAACTATCGCATCGTTATTAAAACTAGGAGTCTCTCTGCATAATAATCTAAAAATTAATCTAAGAAGTATGATCTAAATAGTGAGCAGTCTACTGTTTCTAAAATATAAGCTAAAGAGTGACTAATAAACTAGAGTTTCTGGATTCCATGTTTCTTCTAATTACATTCATTCTAACACAATGTTAAAATGATTCTTTGTGGTTCTGAATATAAAGACGTTTTGATTAATAGATCAATAAAAAGCTCATATTCAAATCAAATTGTTGCTCTTTTCTTTCTTCAGGAACAAAATGCATAAAATATGACATATTAAAGCTCATCCACATTTAAATTTAAGCTCCTCTATTTAAATAAATCCTCATTTATCAATAATTGAACCTGCATGTCTACAGCTGTCCACCAGGGGGAGCCACATTCCTGTTCTTGTAGGCTTGAAGAAATAAAATAAAAGGCGATTTGCAAAATGAAATAGTGACCAGAAATATCATTTAAACTCATCTATATGTGTTTTATATCAGGTCACATTTCACTTCAGCTAAAAATACAAATTACATGGAATTTTTAAATTGTATTTTATTGATTATTTTTTTATAGATTTTTAATTGACCCTTGATGATCACTTCATTTTTTAGAATTCTGATTTCCGTTACCTTTGGCTGTTTTCATACGAAAGACATTTGGCCAATCTGTGTTTTTTGGAACAGATTCACGTTTCATGATTTATCTTCATATTATTATATTCAGTTGCCTTTTAGACGAAGCACAGCAGAGTTCAGTAGAGTTTGAGTCACTTCTGTGTCTTTCATCCTGTTGTCTCCCATCCAGACTCACTGTATCATCTGGACAAAGGTTTTTTTTGTAACCTTTCCATTTTCAATAAAATAATATTTTATGGTAATTTTGCATCCAGTATTTGGTGCCCAGATTGAAGGCAGTAACAGGTGGCGACCTTTAAATCCTACAGAAGATCTTCCTGCAGGATGTTTTCCGGGTCAGTAAGTGGTTCTGCGAGTCGCAGCTGTCTGACCGACTCTCAGGTGAAGATGCCCCAGAGGAGGACGGCAGGTCTGAGGCCTCTGGAGTCAAATGAGAGATTTGGGATGTAAAATGACTTTGATGCGGTTAGATATTAGGGAAAGCATTGTTATAAATGTCTGTCGTCTGAAATGCAAATAGTTTGTCCAAGATTTTGCATTTTCAGCTTAAAAGTAGGAATCTGGATTTCTGCAGTCAGACTGGAAACCAGCGACTGTGCAGAGATGGAGAAAGTTCTGTGGCTCTTTGCTGCTGCATCAGGCAAGTGCAAATAGCAACATTTAAGTTTTATTTCTGTGATTTATAGTTTTACAGGAGAAATGTTGATGTGAAAATGTTTCTCCCCTGCAGGTCTGAGCGCCGCCGCCTCTGGACGTCACTACCATTTCATTTACGAGCCAAAGAACTGGACCAACGCTCAGAGCTACTGCAGAGAAAACTACACCGACCTGGTTACCGTGGACAACCAAGACGTCGTGACGATCCTGAACGACATGGCCGATCTGGAGCAGATGGATCCCAAGCCTGTTGTAAAGTTACTTTTTCTTTTCAAAGTTGACATCAGGGACTTTTTTTTTTACAGTATCTTGTCCTTGTTGGGGACGAGGTTCACCAAATGTCAGTATTTATTATCTTATAATAAATTTGTTATATTTGGCTTTACACACATCCTGTATGATATTTTCATTCTTAACAGATTGACTTTAATCAATCAATCAATTTTATTTCTGAAGTCGCTTCATACTAGCAGCAGCTCAGAGCTGCACAGATCAATACAAACAAACAAAAACACACAGCTGCATGGAAAATCTACAGACTAAGCAGAAATGATTCAGTTCAGCAAATACAGTTAAAAGTCGGCCTTGACCTCTTAAAGACAGAAACATTTTCTGCGGCCCTCAGGATCTCTGGCAGAACCTGAGGGCCCGTTTGTTCCACAAACTGGGCCATAATACTGGAAAGAAGCCTCACCATCAGAGTGAGTTCTGACTCTGGTGCCAGAGGACCTGAGGGTCCGCAGGGGTCATAAGGTCATAGCAGCTCTGCAAGGTAAGATGGTGCAAGACTAGTAAGACATTTAAAAACCAGTAAGAGAATCTTAAAATCAATCAGACATACTGGGAGCCAGTGCAGTGATTTTAAAGCAGGTGTGATGTGAGCCGGCCTTCTGGTCCTGCTTAGAGCAACAGCTGAAGGCTGTCAGGGTTTGTTCAGAGAGACCAGAAAGCAGCATTACAGTATCTATACGGCCGGAAACAAAAGCATCAGAGTCTCAGTGTGAGTGAGGGAGAGAACAGGCCGAACTCTGGCCATATTTTTAAATGATAAAATCCTGTTTTAACTATTTGTTTCATATGTGGAATAAGTGAGATCAGAGGCGAGAAGAACGCCCAGCTTTCTGACTTGGTTTGAAGGTTTAAAAGATGCAGTTTATAATTTTTGAATAATAACTTCCTTCTGATCTTCTGGTCCTATAATTGAAACTTGTGTTTTGTCCTGGTTGAGCTGGAGAAAGTTCTGCTCCATCCAGGTCTTTATGTCTGAACTGCAGTCAAACAGTGCAGTGATTGGCTGAGGGTCGTCAGCAGAACTGTGGAAGCTGATTCCTGATGACTCCACCAAGCAGCAACATAGAGGACCTAAAGTAGAGCCTTGTGGGACGCCATAGTTAACGCCATGGATCTGTGAGAGAGGAGCTGAACCACTGAAGAACAGAACCAGAGAGCCCAGATGCTGTAATCTATTTAACAGGATTTGGTGATCCACTGGATCAAAGGCGGTAATCCAGATTACTCCTAAAATCATTTACAATTTTTAAGGGCTGTCTCTGTACTGGTTTGTCCTAAAACCACATTGATACTTTTCTAAAATACCAGTTAGTTAAAAAAGTGTTTAATTGAATAAAAACAAGCTTAATGTGATGTTTCTCCATCTTATAACTGCCTCAGTTGTTTAAAAAAGGTTTTCCAGAAGGTTTAGGAGCAAATATTAGGTCGTTCTCCCAGAGGACCATTTGTGAGGTCAGACACTGATGTTGGACAACAAGGTCTGGCTGTCAGTCTGCGCTTTAATTCACCACACAGTTGAAGTCAACACTCTGTGTTCAGTGGAGACACGCCTTGCATCACTCCATCCAGTTGTCTGCACTGCAGTTGGTGATGTTAGACTTTAAAGCAGCTACTGAGCCGTGTGGACCGATCCCATGAAGGACTACTCTTCATCTGCAACCCGTTCTCTCACAAATGTTTGTAGAAACAGTTTGAACGTGTCGGCATTGTAATTTCTGGAAAATCTGATGTGCTTTTGCATGTTTCTAACAGAGAACAAGCATCTGAATGTTTCTCAGTGTCTCTTTATGGTGCAGTCAGATGAGGGAGCAGCAGGAAAGATGCAGAAACGTAGAGACACGACTCAGATGAGTGAAGGAGGCCGTTGCAGCTGAACACAGGCTGCTGAGACGGGAACAGTCCAGTTGATGTAGGAGGCCGGCCATGTCAGCAGCTCCAGGTCAAAATGCAAAGTAACACTGAAGAACTGCCAGAAAGTCCCATGAAGTCACATTAAATCCTCTGATCCCTGGGTTTAGATTTGTGTCATTGTGCCAGCTTTTTAGATTTATTTACATCAGGTTTGCAATGGTAATGACTCCATGGACTGTGCCACATAGCAGGAGCTCCTGATAACTAAATGTATTCACTCTGCGTCCCAGGAGCAGAATAAGGACCGACTGAATTTAAAACCGCTAGAAAGAGGCTAAAACCAGACTCTGGATGCAAGTATTACAAAAGTGGGAAGCAGGGAAATAAATTAAGCATCTTTTTCAATATTTCTGTCATAATTGTATTCATTTCTCTGCAGCTGCCTGGAGTCGATACTTCCTTACAGCTGGTCTGTCTCCACCAGATTTGGAGATGTAGGAACGTTTCTGTTTACAAACTCAGTGGGATCTACGGAAGACCATTAGGTCCACAAAACAAAAAAACAAACAGACTTTTTATGGTGTACTTTTTACTTTTACTTGAGTAAAATTCATTCACTGAATTAAAAACAAACATGTTTTAACCAAAAATTCCACAGACGCGCACACACACACACACACACACACACACACACACACACACACACACACACACACACACACACACACACACACACACACACACCCGCATGTTTGTTAGTTTTTTATTGAAAGAAACTGATTTGGAAGAATTTTTTTCTTTTGCATAATTTCATTATTTTTTGTTACTTATTTGAATTATTGTCACTTTGGTCCTTAAAATACTAACATTTCCACTTAACTTTATATTGTGGACCTTCTGATGATGTAATTTTTAAATCTTAAATGACTGATCAGTTACTCAGTACTCTAGAAGATTTTTACCAGATAATTCTTTTCTATTGAGTAAATTCTTAGACGGCAAGTTTTTACTTTTGCTTTAGTAAAAATATATTGAAGTAGAGCTGCTCTTCATATAGGTTTTTGGGAAGTCTGCCCTCCTCTGCTCTCAGGTGTCTCGTTTTCCAGAGTCTGATGTGTTCAGTAGAGTTTGCTGACACTGCAACATGTCAGCAAAAGGATCCTGATGCTGAATGTAACTGATCTGGTCTGATCTCCAACAGGCCTGGATCGGTTTGTACCATGATGAGATCAGATGGAACTGGTTGTCTGGAGGTTTTTACCAAAGCGATGAGCTGAAGTTCCAGAACTGGCACCGAAAAGAGCCAAACATCCCCTGGTACTTACCGGCATGTGGGATTATGGACAGCTCTGGGATGTGGCACGATGCACCGTGCGAAGAGAACATTTACCCGGTCTGCTCCAATGTGTCAGGTAAGAATTTGGTTTAATTTTGTCTTCCTGCTTCTTGATTGCAGGTTAGCCACTTTTTATAAATACGTTTCATCATTTGGTGGCCAACAGGCGCAAAGCTCAGCGAAAAGTAATTATAGCAGAATGTATTGATAAAACCCATCAATAAACTCTTAATACTTTAGTTTCTCTGCATTCAATGACTCCTTCTTAAAATTTAATAATTATCATATTTTTGCACTGATGTAATTTGGCACTACACAAATAAAACTTATTTTTTAAATGAAATCTTTATTTTGAACAAGTAAATTGCCAGATAAAGAATGAAGAAGAATCAAGAAAACAAAAATATATACAGTGATCCCTCGTTTTTCACGGGGGTTGCTTTCCAAAAATAAGCCGCGATAAGTGAAATCCGCGAAGTTGTCACCTTTAGTTTTTTACAACTATTACACAACATAATTAAATACTCTACATTGAAACCAAAGCACAAAACCTGTTTTCAGATCAGCGGATGTGCGTGTTCATCAGTCGGCCTTAATGTGATTCGGAGTCGTGGCATTAAAGCGTCTCCTCCAAGCTGGGTTAGGGTTCACAGCTGGATCTACAGCAGAGCCTCCGGCTACAGTTTTTTCAGCTGGCATTCAAAGTTTCAATATAAAATAAAACTTCCATATCCAGTTCAAAAAGGAGAAGGAAAAAGACGAAACTCTTTAAATCCGACCCACAACTGTCTCATCCAAGTATGTCCCACATTTACACATCAAATAATATCAAATAATCATGATCAAATAATATTTAAGCATACTAAAGTTATCTTGAACCTCTACTCAAGTGGCCATCAATAATCTTGAGGACCATAAAGTGGGTCTGACAGGCCAGACTTGGCCCACGGGCCTCATGTTGAACATCTGATTTCATGAAACGTCCAGAAAACATTGGAGAAAGAAAATATGTTACACTTTATGTCTTTTTCAAACACGAAGTCTTTTCCAGTATTTATAAAACAGAAACATATTTATGTTTTCTGTAGATAATATTACCTGCTCCAGACTCCCCCTACTGGTCTGGAGCAGGTTTGCAGCATTTCAGATGTGCTGTTGTTTCAGTATTTCCAGCCTTTTTTGTTTGCATTTGTTTTGTTTATTGTAGGTTTTTGCTGCTGTTTTCTGTGATTGTATAATAGGATACAAGAGTCTTTTATTAGGACTGAAATTTAGCCAGTAAAATGAGAGTTGGGCCCCTGGTTTTAAAAAATGTTCTTAGCAAAGACCCGACAGACTTCCACTAATCTGCTGTATTAATAGAAAGATCATGTTTTTCTCTTATCATACACGTTTCCTGTTTCGTGTTTAATAATGTGTCTATATCACATGTTTCAAACTCGAGGCTCGTGGGCCAAATCTGGCCCACCATAGCTTTTTATGTGGCCCTCTAGATTCTAGACTAAACACTGAGTGTGCTTAAATATTAGGTTTTCAGTCAAATCAATGCAGTTTTTATCTGTTTACTGCCAAATTATATCACTGAGTCCCTCCAGTTTCTAGAGAATGTTCATGGAAATTCACACAAAATCAACAAATCCCTGCAATTTTTTTGTGCTAATAAATAATTGTGAGTTTATTGCAAATTTTTCTCAAAAATTGTCAAAAACTTTTTGCTTGCCCACAATAGCTGGCCCAGTCTTCACTGATGTCAGATTGTGGTCCATGATCTGCACAGCGAGTCATAAAAAGTTGCATTTACCGTCATAAATAAGCACAAATATCGCAAATATTTCCAAGTTAGTACCACAAACACTTTGACTTTTATTGCAAAAAATGAAAAAAGGACTAATTGACCTGGCTGCTTTGTGAACTTCCAGTTGAATAAATTTTGGCATGCTGACATTTTGGTTGTTGACAGATAAAAAGTCTTCAGGTTGTCAGGCCTTTATATTCATGCTCTTATTTTGAAGTTACCTTTCATGGGTTCAGTAAGCAGCTGTTAGTAAACATGTAAGTCAGCTAGAAACCAAAGTAATTCTAGTTTCTATTGTTTTCAGATGAGGGGGCGAACTTTTTCTTCGTCGACGCTGCGATGAGCTGGGAGGAGGCTCAGAGCTACTGCAGGGAACTCTACACAGACCTGGCCTTTCCCAAAAGCCAGTTTGAGAACTCATTCATAAAGGCTGAGATCCCAGACGGCGTGTATGGCTGGATCGGCCTTTACTTAGACACCTGGAAGTGGTCAGACGGACCCATGTATGGGTTTGTACACTGGGCAGTGGGCAAACCTGACGGTGAGACGCAGCGATGCGGCGTTGCGACCTTTGACAGCTCTGGCGTCTGGGATGACTGGGCTTGTGATGAAATGAAGCCATTTATCTGCCACCATGGTAAGCTGCCCATCAGTCTGAATGGAAACGTGAAGGTTTGTTTGCTTTGCTAGAAAATAAAAACTCTCCAGAGCCAGTAGACCTCTTCCTGGTTGGAGTTCATATTGTGGCGGCTCAGAGCAGAAGAAGAATCAAATGATGCATTCATTCTCCTGATGTGGTGCAGACGCCAGGATCGATGATGTCATTCACACTGGAACGAGGTCGAGAATGGAAACTTTAAAGGAGTGTTGTTTGCTAAATTGACGTTTACGTCATGTTATAATGTTATTCCCTCGTCAAAAACATATCTGGACTGTGATCTTGATTCTTTCATGCATGTTTGAGAAATCTTTGACTCTCCATGGCAACCGTTCAGGGTGCCTAAACATTTGCTCAAACAAAGTGTTGCCAGTTTCCACACAGCTCCACCTCCCTGAGCCTCCCCCACTCAGCTCCTTCAGACTAGCAGCAGCAATCTGCAAACACTGCACCTCAGCTGAACTCATACAAACTATTTTTCAGATCAACGCTCCTAAGAATGGATGTAAACGGCTTAATGGAGTAGCATTGTTGTGATGACGTTCTGAAAGGGATGTGTCAGGAAGAGTAGGAGGTTCTTAAAGAGACAGAGGCCAATTTCAAGACGTCAAATATGACTGTGATGAAAAGTCAAATTTAAGTTGAAGGAAACATAGTTACTTGATTGTGTAAAAACCCAACACTGCAAATGGCATTCACATCCAGAATATCTTTTCTAAAATACTTTTTTCATCCTTAACTGTAATAAAATGTTATAAATATTTGTTTTAAAGACTCTCCACCCTTCACAACACAAGTGGTGAAACTGAAGCTGGTAGGAAATGCGACTCTGGACCTGAATGACCCTGCGGTCCTGGAAAACATGAAGGAGGAGGTAAAAGATCTCAGAATTTTGAGTTTTAGCATTTAAGCCCAAATATCATTTAAATCCAGACAAACTTAGAAGTGTCTCAGTGAAACGTTGGAATGAGTCTGGCCAGGCCCAGTAACTGCTGTGTTTCAGCTCCAGCTGCAGCTGAAGCAGCAGGGCGAGGCTGCAGACGTCAAGCTGAGCTGGAAGAAACAGCAGGATGGAAAAATCTTCCACCAGGAGGAGGAAGAGGAGGAGCTGCAGTGAGGCGACGACATGCTGATGAGAAAACCTTCTCAGCTTTTCTTATATCTTTTAAAATGAAAAATATGTAAAATCCATATTAATGAAACAGCAAAATGATGTGTTGATGTGAAACAGCATATTTTCTTTTAGTCACAGTTCTTCAACATGTTTGAATCATTATTCAAACCTGATCAGAACTTGTAGCCGAGTTTCAGTTTGATTCCTTTTTTAAATTCCTGTAACCTTATTGAATTCACGCATATCTGCCTTCGGTTTCAGTAGTTTCGATTTACTTTTGTGTTTCCTCTATGATCACTTCTTGGTTTATTATTGTCACTTAGGTCTTGTTGCCATATTCAGATCATTTTCCCTTTTGGTTTGTTGATCATTTTAGTTTTTAGTTTAGCTCAGTTTATGTTAAATATCCTCCCACCGTCTGTTTCCCTTTGCTTTCTGCCACATCTGTTCCACTTCTCCTCTGATTAACTCACTTGGTTCTGATCTCATTAGCCATTAGCCGTTAGCCATTAGCCTGCCTCCCTATTGAAGCTCTCTGGTTTGTATTGCTCATTGCATGTCCTGTTCCATTCATAACAACATTGTATGTCTTAATTTTTTTATTATTAAAATCTTCTGGCTTCATTTCTCTGGTTCTGTCCAACGAAAACCCAAACAGGGAACTGACACTGTAACAGGACGCCATGTTTATTCCTGATCCATGATCACCACTGCTGCAGAATCAACACATCTGTTTCAGCAGTAGTGCAGTATTCTGCTGCATGTATCGATAAAGGTTCCCTCACATCAGCATGCTGGGTGCTTGAAACAGAGTGTGAAACTGACAGCTTGGCCTACATATTGACTGATTTGGTTAATAATTATCAGACCACTCAGAGTTTTGAAATTTCATCCCACAGTCAGTGGTTCTTAATGGGAAATTAAATGTTGTTGTAGCTCATTAATTCAGATTCTTCAAATACTTATTGTGTCACAGGATTTGATAATCCAAAGATCCTCTCACATTTAGACCCACGTTTTTATTACACTGGCAGGAAACAAAGTTTTTGAAGGTACAAGATGAAGATGAAATGCAAAAATACCTGACACCTCACCTGACATGAGCCTACAAGTTTAATATAAAAATACACATTCTCTTAAAACAAAATAACGTTTGGGCGCCCCAGGACTCGGCGCCCTGGGCTACTGCCTCTCTGCCTCTCTGGAGGAAAAGCCTCAGGAGTCAAATGAGTCATTTGTGATTTAAAACCTGCTTTATTTGGTTTGATATTACAGCATTTGTCAGAGTAAACACTTGTCATCTCAAACGCAAATTATTCAGCTTGATCATTTTGCATGCCATGTTCAAGCCCAGAGTAATAAACGCCTGCAGCCACAAACTGAACTACACGACACTTACGAGGATGGAAAACGTTCTTCTGTGGCTCCTCAGTGCATCAGGCAAGTGGATTTAATTTTATACTCCCAGTATAAAGTTATACAATCACACATAATGTTTTGTGTGTGTTCAGTGTGTGTGTCCTTTTTTAAAACACCTGAGCTAATTTGAGCTCTGTTTGGAAACAGAATTGATTTTTAAGGTTTGTTCTACTGATAAAAACATCTGTCATGAAAATGTTTTGTTCTTATTTGAATCCTCCTGCTGTCGTTCCAGCAGCTCTGGGCTCCGTCTGCTCTCTCCCTGTTCGTCAGTACCACTTCATCTATGACCCAAAGAACTGGACCGAGGCGCAGAGTTACTGCAGGCAGCGCTACACGGACCTGGTCACTGTGGACAGTGTGAACATGGTGACCATGCTGAACGGCATGGCAGACGTGAGCAGAATGGGATCAACTGCAGACGTAAACTCCATATTCTCCTCTGTTTGCTTTTAAAATATTCAGCCAGCTGAAGGGTTGCACTGATTTATTGACACCAGTTTCCTTGATTTTGTGAGATCGGTGATGAACTGATGCTTCGATGTGAAGCTGATCTTATCCTCAGATCTTACCCTCCTCTGCCCTGCAGCGAGCGCCTCGGCTGACGAACCGGCCCACCAGCTCATGTCTGCACGTTTACCGTTACAAAAATTACTTCACTGTTGCCGACTCAGCAACTTTTCTGACAAAAAACAACAACAGCCAATATTGTAATCATCAGGTCAGGTCAGGCTTTCTAAAGAAAAGTAATGGACGATTGGTCAGAAAAATGCAATCGGTTCACCTCTGAAAGTAACAGGAAGTGTCTGTTTTCTCCCTTTCCCTGTTTTTGTCCTTCGTTTCACTGGAAGATGATAAATTAGTTTAAATCTCTGTTGTTTCAAACTGCTGCTCACCAAATTCAATCACATCTTTGTGATAGGAAACCTTTTGCTTTCCTGAACTAATTCCAACATTTTGTTAATCTAATGCTGCAAAGACTGTTTAAATGACCAGAGTTCATTTTTTTTCTCTCTACATTGAAGTTTTAACATCCATTTGCATGATGTTTGCGATTTGAATGACTCCAAACCCTGAGCCTCAGGATGCAGGTTTGTCTTGAACAGAGTAAACACCTCCTGACAAGTCATGCAAATTTCCAGTCTGGATTTTCTCTGCAAGGTGAGAACGGCACCTCAAACGTAGATCTACAGATTCTAGTTCCCTCTGCTCTGCCTGATCACCTGACAGATTCAGTGTCTCCTCTCTGACAGGAATAGCTGAATTTGTTCGAATAGTAAAAGTGCAGTGAAGACCACGTTGTTTTTTTAAATAACCAACATATCTCCTGATTGTTTTTGACGCTCTCGCCAACAGACAGACTTTGCAGCCTCTTATATTCATAATCCTGGACTCATGAAAACTCAGTCATTCATGATTTCATAAAGGTTGGGATCCAAACCTGCTGCACAGACATGTCAGGTCTGACTCTGCAGTATTTGGTGCTTTAAATATTTAAATTACACTTTGAAGGTTTTTTGTGAAACTCACCAATAGAATCGGATCATCTGCAGAAGAAGCAACCAAGGCCTCCCTGTTTCAGCTTCTTTGAAACTGATCTTACCTAATGAACATATTAGGTAACATGTCATCTTATTTCTGAGTATTTGCACCTAAACATGAACTCTGTATTGAGAAACTGCCATCAAAGATGAAACCTATGGATTTGAATTTTGTCAGTTTTATGAAAGCCCAACTTTATCAGCAGCTATCAGCACAGCATAATTAAAAACTGACTATCAATGAGAAGATTATCTCAGATCATTTTTCAAGTTTGTGGCGTAGAAATATTTCAGCTGAGCTTCCAGTGGTAGAAAACATGAAGACTCTGACTCCAGGTAATGGTTTCATGAGACGCAGGCTGAATTCATGCTGATTCAACCGGGAGTTAATGGTGGAACAACATGGCGCCATGTTGCCGCCACAGGCAGGACCAGCTCCCACCGATCTGCAGGAAGTGACGCAGAACAATATTCAAACGCAGGCAGGTGGTTGGATGTGGCAGTAAGTGGTTCTGTCCCGCAGGCCTGGATCGGGCTGTACTTTGATGTGGTCAGCTGGAGGTGGTCGCTGTCAGACGAAGGTTTCTACGGAGCGGACGGGAGCTACAGACTCTGGTCGGCCGGAGAGCCGAACAGCGCCTGGTACACAGTGGACTGCACTCACATGTATGACAATGGATACTGGAACGACGCTCCCTGCCAGTGGGTTTACGGATCCATCTGCGCCAACACCAGCGGTAAGGATGTAGAACAAACCCAGATTTACTAACAGGCAAGTTTGAGTTTCATTTTTAACGTTTGTTTATGAATAAATGTAGAGAATTAGATATAGTGTTGGTAAATATCAGTAAATACAGGAATTAAAGCAGCACTTTGGCAGCAGAGCGGCTGAAAGAAAAGCTGCCATGTTTCTGCATCACATAAACATTCCTGCTGGTCCCTGAAAAATGACACAAACCAGGACAATCGGTGAAGACAATGTCCAGGGGAAAGAGGACATTTGGCCACTCTATAAATGATTTTAAACCATCTTTTAAATGTAATGACCTTACCAAACTGTTCAGAGACTCTGATTGCATGGAGGTCTGTCACAAATCAAAAACAAATGTCAGCAAATTAAAACCTGGAACTGGAGCCGTTTGTCTCCATGCCGTCTCTCTACGACCGTCTGACTGACTGGTTCTCTTCTGGTCTGTTTCCAGGACAGGCCGCAACATTTTTCTACATCAGCACATTAATGAACTGGACCGACGCTCAGAGCTACTGCAGGCTGCACTACACAGACCTGGCCAGCATCAGGAGCCTGCAGGAGAACGAGCAGATCAGGACGATGAGGCCTGCAGGTCTGACGGTCTGGATCGGCCTCTACAAAGACACCTGGAAGTGGTCCAACGGAAACCTGTTCCTGTTTTCTTACTGGGCATCGGGGCAGCCTCAGGGCGGCGTGGAGAACTGCACCGTGGCAGACTTCAGCCTGTCCGGGCACTGGGAGGACTGGCCGTGCGGCTTAGAGAAGGCCTCCGTCTGTTACCATGGTGAGACGCCATCAGTGGACCAAAGGACAAAAGAGGACGACAAACAGAAATGATAAAACATTTGCTTTGTTTGTCTTAAAGACGCTGAACCTTTCACTCGGCTCACAGTGAAGCTGAAGCTGGTGGGAAACTCTGTTCTGGACCTGAACGACCCGGCAGCCCTGGAAGACCTGCTGAAGGAGGTGAGAGTCTCACAGAAAGTCAGTCCAGATGCTACAAGCTGCTGATCCAGACCTTTAGATCGTGAATCAGATCAATCATAAAATATTAAACCTTCTGCAATGTTCACACTTGAATATCACAGAAGGTTTAATGAATATTTTATGATTGATATGATTCAGTGTGAAATCATCACCAATAATCTCCTAAAGACAAAGTTACTCTCTTTTCTTGGAGTAAAGATTTCTGACGCAGAGATGGAAACTGGTTCAGGCGTTTCTGTGTGTTGGGTGTGTGTTTGGTGTGTGTTTGGTGTGTGTTTGGTGTGTGTTGGGTGTGTGTTGGGTGTGTGTTGGGTGTGTGTTGGGTGTGTGTTTGGTGTCTGTTGGGTGTGTGTTCGGTGTGTGTTGGGTGTGTGTTGGGTGTGTGTTTGGTGTGTGTTGGGTGTGTGTTGGGTGTGTGTTCGGTGTGTGTTGGGTGTGTGTTCGGTGTGTGTTGGGTGTGTGTTCCTGACATGTCTGCTCGTTGTGTTTCAGCTCCAGCTGAAGGTTCGGCTCCAGGCTGACATCAGACTGAGCTGGAGGAAACGGCCTGATGGGAAGATCTTCTACACTGAGAAGCAAAATTAACCCAAAGTTTCTCCACATGAGAAATTTGAGTTTTATTTTGATTACAGGAGGTAAAAGTAACAGCAAATGTTACAGTATGAAGGTTTAGAGGTGAAATCAAAGACCTTGATTTAGCAGCTGTAGTTAAAAGGCCTTTTGAGTTAAAGTCACTGGATAAATGTTGGTTTATCTGCTGTGCAATTAAAGTTGATGCTAAAGATCTTAAAAGATTAACACTGTATTATTCGTAACCATTTACATCATAGTAAGATGTTCCGTCTTTTTTCTCTTTTTTCTTTTGCTTTCTTTGTTTTTCTGACTCTTTCTCTGCCAACACTGACAGAGAAAGAGTCAGAAACAATAACCTTCAACACAACATTTTTTGTCAAACACAATATTTTGGTCTTTTTTACTGTCTGTTTATGAACGGAAACTTAATTCAGTCCGATCTAAACGGGGACAGCTCCCCCTGCTGGACTGTAGTTAATCTGCACCACATGTAAACTAGTTGCAGGCATATTGATGCAATGTGTGAAGACTGTTTTTAATCTAAAAATAAAAAACATATCTGCCCTCAAAATTTCTATTTCCAAGGTTTTAAAATTTAAATCTACTATTTTTGTTTACAATGTGTGGAAAAGTATTTTCTCCTCACGGGCCGATTCTGCTTTTACTTTTTGTCACATTTAATGTTTCATATCATTCAACTCACTGTAATATTGTACAAAAATTATTTGAGTTAACACAACAAGCAGTTTTCAAATGATGATTTTATTCAGTCAGGAAACAAAAAGCCTCCAATGTTTTTGGTTTCAGACCCGGACCTGGTTATTCCCTGACCTGCGGATATAATAATAATAATTCATACTGAACCTCTCTGATGGTGGATAGATCTATAAAAGGAACATTTCATACTCAGAACCGTCCAGTGTGACTGAACTAAAGCAGTTCTGCTGTGGCTCAGAGGGATTGTTGAGTTTTCACAAAATGTTGTCTCTGATGATTTTTAAAATCATCATTTGAAAACTGCTTTTTGGGATTCACTCCTTATTAAAAATTAAAAATAGATTATTTGAAACATTAAAATGTCACCAAAAAAAGGAAAAACAGAAGAAATATGTAATGGGGCAAATTCTTTTCACAGCATGACACACTGGGACGGACGGACGGATTTTCCAGCCAAATAAATGTGGAAGTGGCAATAAAACATAATCACACTGTAATAACTTTAAGTCTTTAAAAGAAGCTCAGTTTAAGAGATAAAATAATAAATTTTAACTCTTCAATTTTCCTTTTGGGTCAAAAAAGTATTTTTTAAATTGAATTTGAAGAAGGATGTCAGTTTTTTATAGTGTAGAGTTTTTGCAAAGGCGTTAATTTAATTGTCATTTCTAAATATTAATGTTAATATTTGTAGTGTGTCAGTGAAGTTGTGACGGGACGGATCGGGTCCCAGACGTGTGTTGACAGAAGCAGCGGTTCTGAAGGCTGATATTCACACGCCAGACGAGCCGTTTGAGTCAGACACACCCTGATGCTGTGGAGGCTGGCCTAACCAAAGTAAACAGGCTCTGATGATTCAGCAGTTTGCTCGAATTAAAAATCATGATCAGGTCAGAGAGTCGATTAGTTTGACTCTTGAAAAGCTGTGAATCAAACAGCTTAAAGTCATTAAAGTGGTTCAACTGGAGATGCTCCAGTTGTGTCGGATCCAGGGTTGCTGGTTCAATTCCTCTGAAGATTCCTGTTTTTATTGCGTCAGTAAATATTTTTATCCATCTACTTTAATTTATTCACAAATAAAACTTCAGGTAGAAGTCAGCAGATTATTGACCTGAGCCAAAATATTGTTAAAGGGAATTTATTTATGAGCAAAAACTTTGAACATGCTCAAAACACATTAAATGTATAAAAAAACAAAACAAAAAAAACAATTATAAAACATACAATTATAAAAAAAATACTTTGGGTGTATTTACATGTTGAAATGCACCCAACATATCCGCAGGTCTGATTGGGCTCAATGGTTCTCTGCCTTGTTGAAGCTCAGCTCGCATTAATTATATATTATTACAAAGAATGAAAGTATCATTAAATATGACAGAGTTTAACCCTGAAGCCCTTCTGGAGCATTTGGAAACATGATGACTGCTGTTCATGTGACACGTGGATCCGATGACTGTTTGCTGTTCCCACCTCTGTTGTTAAAAGGATCAAATGATCGAAGATCAACAGAAAACAGATCAGATGAAACCCTGACGACGACTTCCTGGATGGGAACCAAATCTAGTTAAAACAACTCTACTCTACATAAATGAAATAAAATAATTCAGTTTATGAGTCTAAATGGTCTTAAATCCAAATTAATTATAATAAAGAGTTTATTCTATTACATTCCATATATTTGTGGATCTCAGAAATGAGTGGGGCAAAGTTTCCAGAAGTTTATTCAACAATTTATCATCTTCTCAAACAACAACAAAAAAAAAAAAACATATAACCAACAACATGCAGAGAACGGCAGCAAAACTAAAACGTTTTAGTTCTTTAAATGTTTTAGCTGCCAGGTTCCGGCTGAGTTCACACAGTTAAACATGAACAGGTTACGTTCAAGTTCATTTGAATAAAACATTTCAGCAGCAAAGCATTCAAAGTGCTTTACATCTTAAAACACAATACAGTCAGCAGTTGTGAAAATCAGAAATAAACATATTTTGTCAAATTTCATGATCAGAACATCACCAAATATATTGATCAGTGTTCCTTTACTAATAAAAGCAGCTCTGCACTGGTCAGTTTTAGCCTTGATTTAAAGGATCTCAGTGTTTCAGCTGTTTGGAAGTTTGTTCCTGGTTTGTGGTGCGTAGAAGCCAAATGCTGGTTCTGGTTCTGGTTCTGCAGAGCGGACTAGAACCGGAAGACCTGAGGGATCTGGAAGGTTGATCCAACTGCAGCAGATCTTTGATCCGTTCATTCACAGCAAATTCTCCAGAGTTAAAATTTCAATGTTGGTACCTATTAGAGTGCAGAGACTACTGTTGCCTTCACCATAACTAACTGTGAAAACATAACATTATGGGTGTTAAACATCAGAGTTCACACTTTTCAACACCAGTAATGTCGTGTTGAGCATCCTGGTACTGGACCAAGTTCTGGAAGAATCTCGCCAACTCCATTTTCCTTTTGCTCTTTCTACCTTTGATAAATGCACATCTGTAGATTCTTACATAATGCACCAGATGTAATATTCCAACATCTTATTGTTTTCATGTTATATCCAGGCAAATAAAATACATATCCAGATTTTGTCAGTGAGCTTCCTGTTTTCTATAAATACCATCTCAACATTTGTGACATGGTATTTATTTTCTGCTATCAGATGTTAAGGCAACATTTGAGGAGCATTTTCTGGATTTTAATGTTGATCAAATGCACACAGGTTCAGCTGTTTGACGTTCAGATCTCTGATGGTTCAGATTCGCTCGTCGACTTTGTGACTGTCTTTATGTGTCTCTGAAGGCTCAGGTCAGAGGTCATCCTGATCTCTGGTTTCCAGCTGTAATAACTGAAGCTGGTGATTCTAGATGGTTCCTCTTTAGGTGCAAAGATGACAACATGAAATGGTACCTAATGTTAACGCCATTCCTGTAAGCAAACAAAATGTAAGTGGCAGGTAAAATAAGCCTCATTGTTTATTTAATGGTTTGAACATAGAAAGTGACACAACATGAAACACATCAACATGTTAGTCAAGCAGCACAGATGGTAAAACTAATCCAGACTAATAACAGTTTACTGACCGACATCTGCTGCTTTTTGGAACACAATACACATAAGTGAAATAATGTCTAAAACAATGTTTAAATATAAAATAGACTTGTCTCTGTTTCTCATTAAGCTATAATCTGTTCTTACCTGAGGAGACCCAACGTCACCGTTCTGCTGCTGCCGCTGGTCTGATGTCAGCAACTCGCTAAGCTAGTCACTCACAGCTAATACTACCAAAAACAAAATTCATTTAACTGTAATTCTTTTAGCTAAACGTTTGAATATTGGAGAGGAGTTTTGTTTTTATTGCATACATGTTGGTAGTATCCTGCTGTTCACATACTGCTGGATTTATGCCTTCATCTATTATTTTACCACCTGGGCCTCATCAGGCAGGGATTTATAACAACTGAACTATTCAGCTGTTAACTGGCTGATGCCCCGACTTTGTCATTTTGATCTAAATTGCTAGTGTTACAAACAGTTTCCTTAAGTAGTTATAGTTATTCATAGCAAAAACTAAACTCCCATTGCTGCTCAAAACTTAAGGACAGCAAACTGCCAAACTGCAGCTTTGATAGACGTGATCACACTGATGATAGCCAGTTAATCCAGAGATAATTTTACCACTGATTCTTATGGTCTTAGCTAAACTCTTGGGTCTTTGAAAACTCTGGACGAAAACTTTGGACTTGGTGTTCCTTCGCCCGGGGCCCATGGAGGCCCACTCCGGAGCCAGGCCTGGAGGTGGGGCATGATGCCGAGCACCTGGTGGCCGGGCTTTTACCCATGGAGCCCAGCCGGGATCAGCCTGAAGAGGAGACATGGGCCCCCCCTCCCATGGGCCCACCATCTGTCGGAGGGGCCAAAGAGGTCAGGTGCAGTGTGTAATGGGAAGCGGCCGAGGGAGGGGACCCTGGCGGTCTGATCCTCGGCTGCCGAAGCTGGCTCTTGGCACGTGGAAAGTCACCTCTCTGGTAGGGAAGGAGATGGAGCCGGTGTGTGAGGTTGAGAGGTTCTGGCTAGAAATAGTCGGTCTCACCTCGACACATGGCTCTGGTTCTGGAACCAGTCTCCTTGAGAGGGGCTGGACATACTTCCACTCTGGAGTTGCCCAAGGTGAGAGTGGGCAAACTTGGCGCTCCCATCTTGCTCCCCATCTTGGCGCATGTACGTTGGGGTTTACCCCGGTGAGCGAGAGGGTAGCCTCCCTCCGC